TAAACAAATAGGTGCATGGGAAAACTGGCAGTGGTTGGGGTGGTAATTATGATGGGGAAACCACACATGTTCAGCTTTCATCTGTGAGAAGCTTCCCGTAACCTGTGTACGTGCGCTTGCTTGCTTGCTTGCATGCGTGTACACACACACACACACACACACACTCTTCCTCTCTGGGGTGAGGCCTGCCCTCTGGAGATGACCTGAGGGTTATACTTCACCTGAGAAGAAGATTCCCGGGCCAGAGGCTCACCGCAGCAGCTGGCTGGAAACCCACTATGGGTTTTCCAGGCTGGTGTAACTTCCTGTTGATTTTCATCCTTACTTTCCTGTTACAGGGTCCAAAGTGTTTAAGAACAAAAATGCCCCCAATGAACACCCTGTTTTAATGTCTCTCTCAACAAAGCTAAGGATTCTGGGGAAAAGTTTTGAGTGTGATTGCCCTAAAATCCCCACTTGCCACCCCTGTAAAGGTTTCCCAATGTTGGCATTATTGGCATTTGGGGTCTGATAATAATTTATCGGAGATTGTCCTGAGTATTATAGGGCATTTATCAGCATCCCTGGGATCTACCCACCAGCTGCAATCCCAGTAAGGACAATCAAAAGTGTCTCTAGAGTATGCCAGCTGTAACCTGAGGGGTAAACTCACCCCACTGAGAATCACTGCTCTCCTCTTAGAACCTTTTTCAGGTTCCTCTTTCTGAGTACTCCCCACTATTGGAGGGGCTGGGGCCTATGTTTAGCAGAACAGCAGCTGCCATCAAAGCTAGTTTGGTTGCACAGTAAACCAAAAAAACAAATCCACTGCCACCGAGTTGATTTTGACTCATCGCAACCTTACAGACCAGAGTAGAGCTGCCCCACAGGGTTTCCTAGGCTGAAATCTTTACAGGTATTTTCTCCCAGGTGAGTTCATGCTCAGGACCTTTCGGTTAGCAGCTAAGCACTTAACCACTGGGCCAATAGATGGTCATTTTTTATGCAGTCAAGCTGGACATCTGGATCAGATGGCTGTGGATAATAACTGGGAGCAGACAGCAGTGGCCGGAGAGGTTATAGGGTCCCCTTCCCTTGCCTCCACAATGATCTTTGCTCATTTGTGCCTTAATCTGACCATGATGAATTTGTAAAAATGTTTGGGTAAGTTCATCTGTTCCAGTCTCTCCATCTTACAGATGATGAAAGTGGGACCTAGACAGAATGTGTGACTTGCCCCCTCAAATGGGAAGTGGCCCTAAGCTTTGACACAATTTTTACCCAGCTGCAATTGCCCATTTTCTTCTGATGGGAATGGAGGGTGCATGCAGGCAAGGGTCTTACGGTGCAGAAAACATTTCCAGAAGTACTAAGTAATCAGGTCCCAGGCAAGTTCTGGACAGAAACTTCCCAAACCACTGAAGATATCCGATACCCAATTTTTGCCCAAACATCCAATTCTTCTTCCCAAACCTTCTAAAACCTGGGCAGGCCTTGGAAGGTGGATCCTTTGCCCCTGCCTGGTCATCAGGCATCCAGGGGGCACTAGCCTGTCTTCTCTCCATTTTGTGATAAGTCCTCTTCTCTCCTCTTCACCTCTGCACTAACCCTCCCGGCTGCCACGTTGTCTTTTAAGGCTGGACCCTACTTCCTCCTTCCAGTATTCCCCTGAAAATAAATTCAATTTGAAACCTGTTAATGTGCGGGTCCCAGAGGTGAGCAATCACTTAGGGAGATAATTTTATTCTCTTCTGTCTCCTAGGCCCCGAGAAACACCCCTCCCCCTGAGCTCCATGAAGATAATGAGGGAAGCGTGACTCCTTCCTCTGACCTAATTGATTATCCCCACACACCTTGGAGTGCTTTGCATAACTAGCCACGACAGCAGCAACCCCTTCCAGACAGAGTGATTGACATATTTTATTTCTAATTGAAGCTTAATCAGGACCAGGGATGAGAGTCCCATATTCATTCTCTTTCTCTCTCTCCTCGTTTCCCTTTTAAATTCTAGGACCCAACTATAAAGGACAGAGCTGTTTCTGGGATCCTTTAGAAGAGGAGGAGAAGGGAAAGGCTCTGGAGGAGATCCTGGGAAGAGGATGAAGGAATGGAAATGAAAGGAAAGTGCCACCAAGGAGAAGGGTAGGAGGCTGACTCCTTCCCCCTCTGTTAGCTGAAAAGCATCTTTTTCTTCTAATTACGTGATTTCATTGGGGTCAGCTTGGCGTTCTGCTAGTCAAAGACTCCAGTGATCTTTGGGATAAAAGGAGTTACACATACATCTGAGCCATTCCACCACTTTACCCTCAACTCTCATTTAGCATCTGTTCACACTGTCTTATCCTAGGACCACTGTGAAATGTGATGGACTGAGAGCTGACTGACCCTCGGGGTTTTCAGCGGTGGGAGACCAAGGGACAGGCACAAGTCTGGAAGTTCCCTCTGGCCTCTCCATGCCCAGTTTCCTCTGAACAGGTTCATTTTCAGCGCAGAGAGGCTGTGTGACTCAGCGGCCACCTCCATCTTCCTGCCGCCCCAGTGTGGGAGGGTTCCCTGCTTCCTGGCTGCAGCTGGGATTGCACAGGAACTGGGAAGACACAAGGCAGACATCTCACTTTACTTGGTGATGGGCAGGGTGGGCCTTCTTATTGCCAGGAGTTGAGGTGTGGGGTCCCCAGTAGGGGCTGTTTACACACTACTGTGTGTCAGCACTTGGCATGTTTTATCTCTCAGCCTCACAACCGCCCTGCAAATTAGGTGTTGTTAATCTTATTTTGTAAATGAGGAAATGTGAGCACAGAGAAGTGAATTATAAGCCCTAGGATTCACAGGAGCTAATGGAGAGCTAGTTCTGTGCCAGTTAAGCTTGTGAGACACAAGTTCAGGTATCAGACACTCAGTGTGCCCTCCAGAGGTCTCAGCTCTGGCCCTGGTCCTGGAGACCTGGCCTCGGGAGGTTCAAGGTTCACACAGTTAAAGTCCTCTCACTGAGCCTGCAATACATGGAAGGGCGCTAATCATAGGGCCAGAGCTGAAGAATTGAAGACGCAGCTTTGGAAACAGTGAAGGAGCCTGAACCCCGGAGATGCCAGAAGCAAAGAGGGGAGACAAGGGGAAACCCAGGAGAGGTGTCCAGCGTCTGGGGAAGAGCCTGGAGGGGCGAGCACCAGCTGTGAACGTCTTGGCCTGGTGTCTGCTTCAGCTACCCCAGCCTTCTGTGCACCAGAAGGGCAATAGACTGCCATTCCGGTTCCCTGCTAAACCCCTGGACGACGCTGCACCCTGGGCACCCCAGCCTGGACGCAGAGTCGGATTGTCGCCAGTCTCGCCCCCGAGTACGCGTCGCAGCAGCTGTATCTACTTGGACCCTTCTTGGACCCAGCCATATGGGGCTCACCTCTCCTCCCGCCCAACCTCAAAAAGTGTACGTTATGAGGAGGATCAGCGGAAAAAAAGGAAGACCCCCAATGAGATGGATTGGCACCACGGCAGCAGAAGTGCCAAACAATTGTGAGGGTGGCGCCGGACCGGCACTGTTTAGTTCTATAGTGCATAGGGTCGCTAAGACTCGGAACCCACCGGAGGGCCCCTAACAACAATTATGCAGTTCTTTGTCACGTGGCTCCGAGTATGAGCTGTCTTTTCAAATCTCCCCGGGAACCCAGGTGATTGTAACACGCCCTACCACCGGGGCCAAACCGCCAGCTATGGGCTGCTTGGTAATTTACTAACTCAAAGGGGGGGATGAGGTAAGAGTGCCATCCCCACGCACCCAGTTGGTCGTACCCCCCGAGGTGCTACTCTTTCCGCGTTCTCTACAACTTCTCCAAGTCCAAGTTGGGCAAGAACCAGGGTACTAAAAGAGGGGCAAAAAAGGGCACGGAGAGGATGAAAGGTCGGGTCTGGTAGGAGAGGCCGCAGAGGAGAGGCACCGAGGGGCCCTTCTGTCCTGTAGAGGGAGCTCCAGCTCCAAATTTCCCGGCTCCCTCCCTAGGCCGGTCCACTCCAGATAAGCTTCCTCAGTGCAGCGGCCTGGCCCCCGGGCTCGGCCCTGGAAACTCGCCCCTTCCAGTGCATTGGGAACAACCTACTTGGGTGCCAAAATGAACAGACGCGGTTAGGACCCGGACCCACATTCTGAGCTCGAGCTGGGCGTGATCCCAGAATCATCAAGGGAAAGCGGTGCTCCCCTGGGCTCACCCCCTACCCCACACACACTACCCCGTCACTCCACACCCTTAGAAGCAGAGCTTATTATGGCTTTGCAATGTGGTTGGGATGCGGAGGAGAGGTTGGAGCTGGGCGAGCAATGCCCCTTATATATAAGACCGAGAAATCTCAGCTGTTTCTATCAAAAGAATTGGGGGGGAGGGGGGAGGAGGGACTTCACGGAGTGAGGAGAACCTCGAAACCCTAGCTTCTCTGAATCCAGACCTTTTCCCAGGCCCTTTGCTACTTCACCAGAGAGGACCCCAGAACCCAGTGGTTCTCCCCACGACCGGCGAGTTAGGCCCAGTTTCACAGCTCCTTGCCTGTCGGGTATCTTCCCAGGTTTTCCACCTAGTCTCCTCGGCCTTTTCTCTTATGAACCCCGGGTACACTTTCCAATCCCCACCGCTTCTGTGTCACCTCTATCAGTATTTAATCTTGACTCGTCTCTGGTCCTTTTCTGCTAATCCGGGCGACTGTTCAAAAATGGGGACAGGGATACAAAATAAATACAAAAAACCCACCAAACAGATCCGATCCAGGGGAGACAGAAGGGTTATAGTCAAAGTGGCAACAGCTCATTTATTTAGCCAAAAATAGATACTTTCTTGTACAATTTGGTTCACACATATGTACATTTTTCTGTATATACAAAAAAAAAATTTCAGACGCGCTTTTTCTTACAGAAACTCAACCATCCCCCCGAAATCAACCTCATAAACTAACCTCACAAACTGCTCGTGTGGGATACAGAAGCCACTTGGGAGGGTTGGGGGCACTTAGTTTTATTTCTTTTATTTTTTTTTTTTAACTTTCCTTTTTAGATATTCATACACGGACATGCTTACAAGTCGTAACTATACAGAGCGATTTTTTTTTTTTTTACAATTATTACAACGATTTAAATTTTGTTTTTTCTTTAAAAAAGAATTAGGACGAGGAGAGAGCCGATAAGACCAAAGCGGCGTCCAGGTGGCTCTGGGGCCTGGAAGAGAGAGACAGTGGTACCAAAGTGCTGAGACTGCCTAAGGTTGGGATACCTACCTCACCGGGGATTGGGCTGGGGCGGAGAGGTGTTTAAATGTAAAATTATGTCTAGCTTAGATCTAAGTGTTTGGGTTTAACTATAAGACAGATAGGAGTCGTCAGGATTCGAGATCTGGGACTGGACGGAGGCCACACGAGCGCGTTGCAAAACTGCTGCTCGCGGACAGTGTCCTCAAAGTGCTAGGGTCGCGCCTGCTTTGTCTCGGTGAGTCGTCTAGAGGCTGTGTCATTTCGTCCCTTTTTAGAAATACGTCCCAGCACGTTTCCCTGGGGCGAAGGCCAGGTCTGGCCCCGAGTTTTCTTTCCCTCGACTACCCTTCCCAGAATTCCCTCAAACTCCGAGTCTCTTACCGTCTGGGCACGGGCTGGAAAGCCGTCTTGAGTAACTTTTTCTCCACTTCCAAGGCACTACAGCGATCTAAGGGAAGTGAGGAAAGAAAAAGGACCTTAAAGCGCTCTTGTTTTGACGCCCAAAGCCTGGGGAGTGGGGACTGGCGCCGAGAGAATTGCGCCCCGCGCGCCCGTGGCCTACCCACCTCCGCTCGCCAGGGCTGAACCCCCAGAGCCCCCCTCCCTCCTCACCCTGCTCTCAGCAATCACCTGTTCCGCCCTCGGGCTCTGCTGGCCGAGCGAAGGCAGCGGCGGCTCCGGGCAGTCCCAGCAGGTGCGGAGGGGCCGAGCCGAGCAGGGACAGCGGGTGTGGGCGTGGGCCGGTTGGCGGGCCTGGGAACGGCCGGTTGGTCCAAGCGGGAAACTTGCCCAGCGGCGCCGAGACGAGTCTGTGAGCGGCGGCGGCCGGTGAGAGCTGCAGGGCCGGGGACGAGACCGCAACCCCTTGGGGAGAACCACCCGTGCCGGGTGGCGAACGGCGCGGGTTGTCGGGACTTGTGGCCGTCTCTGCCAGTGACCAAATCTTGGGCTTCTGAAGGGAGGCGGCGGCTGCTGGTGCGGGTGCGCAGGGGTCCAGGCCCACGGGAGGCGAGGGAGGAGATGGTGGACCCGCAGCCACGGGCGGTGGCGCTGGGGCCAAACTCAGGACCGGCAGTGGTCGCTCCTCTAAGCCCTCGGAGCTGTCATCCGAGTCGCTATTCTTAGAGTCCGAAATGGGCCCCAGACTGAAGTCACCGTTTCTGCGTGTCGCCCCAGGCAGGGCCAATTCAGGCCCCGCGGCCGCGCCGTCTAAGTTCTCCAAATCAATCTCCTCGTCCTCGTCATCATCTGCCAGGCCCTCGCCCCCCGTGTCCTCCTCCTCCCCCGCGAGCTCCTCCTCCTCCAGCTCCAGCTCGCGTTTGCTGTCCTCCTCATCCTCCTCCTCGTCCTCTTCCTCGCGCTCGCTGCCATATGCGTTGCCCTCCTCATCTGTTCGGCTGCGGGGCGCCCACGTCATCTTGTTCTCCTTCTTGAGGCGCCGGCGCGCGTTGGCAAACCAGGTGGACACCTGGGTGAGGGTCATCTTGGTGATGATGGCCAGCATGATCTTCTCGCCCTTGGTGGGGTAGGGGTTCTTGCGGTGCTCGTTCAGCCAGGCCTTGAGCGTGCTTGTGCTCTCCCGGGTGGCGTTCTTGGGACGGGACGGATCTCCAAACTGGTATTGGCCATACGGGTAGAAGGCTGGGTGCGGGTGTGGGAATGCGGCGGCAGCGGCCGGATGCTGAACCCCAGGGCTGTCCTTCAGCTCATACTGCGCACCCTGTACGCACATGAAGAGGGAAGGGGGCAGGCGGGGGAGAGAGTTCTGGTGAACCCCAGCCGTCTGCCGCCTCTACTCGCCCGATCTGGGCCCCGCTCCTCTCTTGCGCACTCCTTTCGCCCTGCACCCGAGCTCCAACCCCTCTCCACCCCCTCTAGCTCCCTGGGCGCTTACCAGCTGCGGGAAGATGGGTAGCTCCGTGGCGTAAGGCAGGAAGGCACCGTAACCTTGGGCGGCTGCAGCGGCCGCTGCGGCCGCGGCGTAGGGCGCCCCGTACACGGACGAGAGCACGCTGGACAAGGACCCTGAGGCTGCCAGCTCTGAGGCTCCGGCGCCCGGGCCTCCCCGGGCCCCCGCACTGCCGCCGCCGCCGGCCCCTGGACGTTCGGACGGGTAGAGCGGGCGGATGTACTGGTATCCGAGCTGGGGGAAGGACATGGTGGCCCGCGGGGCACCGACGGAGCGGGGGCCTGGCCCCCGAGGCCGCCTTACTCAGCGCCGCCCGCGGGCTGCGGCGCGCATCGGGGGCTGGGCCGGACTGGGGCCGCTCTACCTCCTGTGCTGCGCTGTGCTGCGCTGCGCTGCGCGCTCGCCTATTGATCTGCTCCCCGGCAGTAGCGACGGAGGCGACGACCAGGAGCCAGGTCAGGTCCGAACAGATTGGCGGAGAGTCTCGGGGCTCTGGACTCTGATTGACATTTCTACGGGGCCGCAAGCCCCTCCTCTCGGCGCCGCGCTCCCTCCTCTCCGCAGCCGAAGCAGCTTCTGCCCGCGTCTCGCTCCACACTGCCCTCCTCTCCCGGAGCAGTGGCGCGCCTCGCTTTCTCGCCCTCCTCTAGTTTTCACTCCCCCTCCGCGCGCTTCCTCTCCCCTCCCCTCCTCGCGCTCCTCTTTCCACCAAGAGCGCTTTTGCTTCTTTGGGCTGTGTGAGTCTTCCGGACGCTATAAAACTCGCTTTTCTTTTTCCCTTTTTCACTATTTCTCCCCCCCTCCCCCCGCCCTCTGTTCTCTCCACTCTTTCTTCTCTCGCTCTTTTTATCTCTCCTATATCATTCTCTACTTAAAAGCCCTCCCCACCCCCTCCCCGACTTCTGTGGCCTGAGCTGAGGCGATCTACATTTGTGGGCACTTAGGGTGCTAAACGGGTGTGTGTATGTCCGTATCTGTGTCTGTGTGTCCGTCTCCGTCCTCCTCCCTCCCTCCCTCCCTCTTTCCCAAATCTCGGGTCTGACGTCGCGCCCTCTTATTCGACTTCCCCTCGCGTCTCCTTCCGAAGTCGCCAATCGCCGGGGCGCCTTACAGGCGAGGCCGCCCACTCCCGCGGATACCGCGCGCGGGGCGGGACATCGTGGAGGCGGGAGTCGGGCGCTTCTGTCCCTTCCCGCCCCTTCTGCCAGATCCGAAAGGGGGAGCGAGAGGCGCAGGGATGGGGGTTAATACCGGGTCAGCTCGCCACTCCCCGCTTCCCTCCCCCTCAGAGCCTCATCCTGGGCCTTGGCGCATGCTAGAATCTAGCCGGACCCTGGTCCAGGGCAGGTGCTGGGTCCAACTCTGCCAGGCCTTTATTTCCAGCCGGCACCCTTAGACACCCCGCCGTTCTTAGAGGTGTAGAAGAGTGCACATGGGGAGTGGGCAAACATCCTAGTCCCGTCTTCAAAGACCGCCTCAGTGTCTAGGGGGACAAGGCAACCGCCTACCCAGGAAAATCAAACCTCGAAATTACCCGGTGCGAATTACTAATTATAAATGGTGGGTTCGGCCCGGGGGCTGAAGGGTAGACGTCCCGGGGGTTCTGGGGCTGTGGCGACCGATCTGTGGGGACTGTGGACGCCGTGGAATGGGGTAGGGGAGGAGCATAGAGGCCAGGCGATCGCCTCAGGAACTTTCAGAGAGCGCTTCGAGAACTTTCTACGTTGGCATTTTCAGCCTGCAGAGACCCTTCTTTTCCCTACTCTCTCCTCTGCTCCCCGGTACCCAGCACCCACACTAGTTCTTTCTGAAAGGGTCCTCGTACCGCGGCGAGTAGGGATGGGAGCCAAGGCTTTTAGTTTTATGGTGGAATTCCTCTAAATTAAACCTAAAATCCCGGTATTCAGGAGCCCACCTTCAAGGATTAGGAAGTGCAGCCGCAAGCGGTATAGAAAGCGCCGGAATTGCAGTGGCTCAGGTCTAAGCGCTCTAGGCCGCGGTGGGCGACCAACACTGTGGTGGGCGCGCCCCGAAACGACGCGGAAACCGGCCTCTTCGCGCGGGCTGATCAAGCAAGCCCGAGTCCATTAGATAGAAGGGGGTCTCAGAAAGCCTAGGTCCGAAATGAGCGATTCTTCTGCCCTTGGAGGGCACCCGGTTTTGACCCCACCCACATTCCCCGCCTCTTTCTATTTGTCTTCGCACTGGTAGGGGATTCCAATAGGCGAGAATGCCGAGAAAATTGAGGTGGGGGGAGACAAAGGAAAGTTTGGGGTGACCAGTTTTGGGGTTCGAGCTGGGGTCTGATATTCCCAAATTGGACTAGAGCTGCGTCTGCCTTATCCCGTCCCCACTCGCCTCTGTCTAGTGCCTGGCGTTGGCCTTTGCTGCCACTTCGGCCTTGGAATGTTTCCCTGAAGCCACATTTCGTTTCTGGTTAAAACCTAACAGCGAGTGTCAGAGAATCTTGGGCTCATCTTCTCAGAAAAAATCTCGGAGTTTCAGAATTGAGGGTAACATCATTTCCTGGGCTGTTTCTTAGCTGTCAAACCATTAGTCTCGACGGCCCCGAAGTTCTAGAGTTTGCATAAAATGGTTCCACTACACCGGGGCAGAGATCAGAGCGAGAATTCGAGTTGGAGAGCCAGGATGAAATGACCGATATTTCAGTTCTTCGGGAAGGTAAAGAAAATAAACAATGAGCCTCTAAGATGCTCCTTTCACATTAACCAGCTATCGACCTAGCTGCGCCAGACTGCCTTTAAGGGGCAAGGGGAGGGGCGAGGCTGTTCTCCCGAAATCTACTACGCCGGCTCCAGGGGCTCTCCGCCTGGAGGGTGAATCTCAAGCCACAGATTCATGGACCTCCTGGCGACCCAAGCTCCGGGCAGAAGCGGACCCTCCACTGCTCAAGTCTCCAGCCTTGCTCATTCTAGGCGATACCCACTTCTTGTCGTGACTGTGTCCCAGGCAGCCAAACCCTATGTAGCACTGCCCTCCAACTGGACCCCGCCAGTGGAGCCCAGTTCCGGACTGAACTCGCGGGTCCCAAGACAGTTCGAACCCTTTCAGAGATTTTTTAATCCAAAGGACTAGACTAGATTCACACACACACACACACACACACACACACACACACACACACACACACACGGGAAGGAAAAAGGAAAACAGGTGTAGGGACGTTGATTTGGAAAAGACGTGCGTCCACAAAATTGCCTTACACAGAAGATTCTCTATCTTCTCGAAGGTCTCCCAAAATTCCCAGAGCAAAAAGCACTTTGGAGGCTCGCTGTAGAGCGCGGGGAGTGCACGGAGAGGCTGTCCAACGCACACTCTCGGCGCACACAGCTGCGCGCAACACACGCAGGTAGCAGCGACTCGACGTGAGACCAGTGAGTGCCCAAGGCCTGCCAGGCTCCCGGGCTTTGCCGCACACAGCTCCCGAGCCCCCAGCCCCCAGGCCTCCTTCTGGATCACTTCTGGGCCAAGAGTGCGCGCGCGTTCCGTTGAGTGGCTGGGTGGGGTGCAGCGCCAGCCCTGGATCTTCCTGCCCAGGCCCATTCTGTCCTTACCTACCAGGCCCGGAGTCCCCGAACGGCGTTGCGGGGCAGCTAGCCCTCGGCTTCCTGCAGACGCCGCGGCGCGCGCTCCCACCGCTCCCTCCCCCCGCGCTCGGGTTACAGGTTAATGAAATGCTCGTTTTCCTCAGTCATTTGTTTTGTTTTCCTGCAAAGTTCTGATAAGTAGCTAACCAACGAAGCTTGTAATTACAATCTTACAGAAACCGGGCCGATCTGTATATAAATCTCACCATCCAATTACAAGATGTAATAATTTTGCACTCAAGCTGGTAATGAGGTCTAATACTCGTGCATGCGATAATCCCCTCTGGATGCTGGCTTGATCAGATGTTGGCTTTGTAATTAGACGGGCAGAAAATCATTATTTCATGTTCAAATAGAAAATGAGGTTGGTGGGAAGTTAATTTCTCTCCGCTCTGTGAAGCGTAGACAAGAATTTAATGATTTAATTACAGTTGTAAGCCCTTTCCATGAGACTTAAATTGAGCTGAGAATATTTTTTTTTCCCTTTTCTCTTTCTCTCTCTCTCTTTTGCGTTCTCTCTCTCAGCTATTAGCAGCCGTACGGACGCCCGGAGTGCGTGGTCTGGCGTCAGTACCAGAGGGATTCCTATTTGGCCAGCAATTTGGACCTGGAGCATCCTAGGCGACGCAGGCCTGGGGTCCCTGAGACACCCAGTGAGGAGCCGTCGCTCCCCACCACTGTGGGGCCTTGGTGGGTCCGGAGAAGCGACAGGAAAACTTCGGGGGAAACTTTGCCAACTTCGCTCTTCGCTGAGGAGAGGTCGCGGCGGCAGCGGCGGCGGCGGCGGCAGCGACAGCGGCAGCAGCGGCGGCGGCGCGTAGGGTGGGCCCGGGGCCAGGCCTGGGCTCCCTGAATGGGCCAGCCGAGGAGGGCCCTTTGCACCCTCGCGCCGTCCCAGGGGCTCCCAGTGGCCCTCGGCGCCCAGCGTCCAGAAGGGTCTGGATTTAAAGTCAAGACTCTTAGCGCGAATGATTACCTTTTTCTTTACCTGCCCAGGATCATCCTCCTTTTATCTGACTTGAGCAGTTTTGCATCACACTTTGTATTTCTAGCCTTCTATGGACTTTCTATACATTCGATATCTCCGTCATTCAATTTTGTGCTTTCCGCCTCTCCTTCGTTTGTTCTCCTTTTCTCTATCTCCCCCCTCCTCCATCGGAACCACTTTTTAGATCCTGTTTCTCAATCCTGCTCTCCCTCTCTCTAACTTTCTGCTTCTTTTTCCCTTTCTCGGGCTCTGACTTTTCCTCCCCATCTGTATTTTTCATTCATTCCGTTTCCTCTTTTTCATCCTTATACTCTCCTGTTTCCTTCGCCGGTTTCTTGGTCTATCTTTCGGACTCTCCTCTTCGGGTGAATGCTTTCTTTGACTGTCCCTCTCCAGGATTTGTCCCCTCCTCCCCATCCATCTCTAGCGATGAGTGTGTCGCCTTATTGGATGCTGAGGCCCAAGCCTGGCGATGGGGCTCGGCCAGCATTGCGCATTTCTTTATGCATATTGAAGAGATGATAATGAGCGTGTTTGCGTTGTTGCATGGAAATGCTGCGTTTACAACCGCATTTAGGAGCTGGCGAGGGTGCCTTGGGCCTGGGGGCAGGCCGTGCCGTGGGCGCTGGGCCTGGCGTGCGCTGGGGTTCTTGGGAAGAGGTGACCTTGCCGAGCGTTGGGCCTGGCCGCCGTCACAAAGGCCGGCCGAGTTCCGCTCCTTAAAGCGTCATTACCGGAACCCCTACCTAGCTCAAGACAGTCCCTGACAGCGTCCAGCTCCTGGGTCTCTGAGCCCCCTCCCCTGGTTTTCTTGGTTTTTTTGTGGGTTTTTTTGAGGCCTGTGATGGAGCGACACCAGGAAATTAGAACCTGACAACGTCATCTAATGGCAATAAATTGTTTGCGATCTCAAATGACACGTCGCAGGATCAAACATAGCCGCATTGTGCACCCTGTTCTGCTTGCTCATTAATCTTTGAGTGTGCGTTGGCATCTCTTTGCTAGGGAGGGTTGCACTAAGGCCTCTCAACTGTTGCGAGTGGGCATTCATCAGGGATCAGAAGGGACAGAGAC